CAGCCCTCAAACTCCCGCAAGTAGCCCTCGAGGACCACGCAAAACCCTAACCCTAAACCCCAAACCCTAAACCCTAAACCCTAAACCCCTAAAGCCTAAACCCTAAATCCTAAAGCCTAAACCCTAAACCCTAAGAGCCCCCCCCCTTTGAAAGCGCAAGCCCGAAACCTCGCAGGCTCCACGAGAAACAAGCCAGCTTCCAGAAAGGCGCCAAGATGGAGGACAACGGGGGAGTCGTGGGACTACTTGAGGGCTTCGGGTTCAGGTTTAGGGCTTGGGGCGTAGTACTATAGGGTTATTTTTAGGGTAGCTGTATTTATAGCTGCTTATATTCCACTTAGGGTACTTAAAGCTTCAAATCATACTTACTAAGTCCCATGAACCTCCAAGTGTCTGAGAGCTTTGTTGCCTTAGGCTGAGGTTTTTGGATGGCGTGAAAGTATTTGATGTTGCTATATGGGGCTTGTAAGGTGTTCTGTGACTCATGTGTCTTCTGTGTTTTTGGTTCAGAGGCACCCATCCTCATTCCTAAACCCTGAACCCTGTGCTGCTCAAGAAAAAGACTGTAAGCACCCTGTAAGCCCCATTGCCTTGATAAAAACCCTTAGCCCCAGACATATAGGAACAGGCTTGAACTTAACCCCAAATCCCTAATCCTAAACCCGAAATCTGAGATCATAAACCCTAAACTAAACCCTAAATCCTAAACCCTTAAACCCTTAAACCCTTAAACGCTAAGACGGCATGCCGTCTGGGCACCTACTGCTGGGCGCAGGCCCAACCTCATGCCATTCTCAACCCACATCTTGCTAGTGTAAGAACCTGAGTTGTTTAGGGCTTTAAGGGTATAGGGGTTTAGGATTTAGGATTTAGGGTTTAGGGCTTAAGGGTATAGGGGATTAGGGTTTAGGGTATCGGGCTTAGAGGGTTTAGGGCTCAAAGGGTTTAGTGTTTAGGGTGTAAGGGTATGGGGGATTATGGTTTAGTTTAGGCTTTTGAGCTCTTACAGTCTAATGTGGGAACCTGAGTGAGAAACCCTAGTCCTAAATCACCAGAATATTCGGCTCCATATGAAGAACCCACGGTTTCTTATCCTATTTTTCCTCCAGAAGCCCTCAACCCTAAACACTAAACCCCAAACCCTGAACCCTGAATTTAATCCCGTAACCCGAAGCCTGCAGCCCAGCCGGATGTACTCGAGGAGACTGGGTGCTTATACCTGTTAGGAAGGACTCGGGGTTTAGGGTTTAGGGATGTTTGGGGCTTTGGGTCTAGGGTTTAGGAGGGTTTAGGGCTCTGGGTTGGGGGTTTCGGGATGTCTAGGCATCAGGGTTTAGGGATGTTTCGGGTTTAGGGCTTTGGGTTTAGGGTCTTGGGATGCTTTGGGTTTAGGGTTTAGGGGTAACAGCTCTTATCGTTGTCACCGGTACTTGTCAGCCGCTACTTGTGTCATTCGATGACATCTCTCACTGCTATTACGTAGTCTTGTCATTCCTGTTGTGATTCTCATTATTGGTTTCATTATGACTGGCTTTTGATGATTTCAGTGACAGCCTTGATACTGTGTTTGAATACACGTGTTGTTGCAGTTGTTGTTACTACGTTTATTATCCAGATTGTTATTCTCTTTCTCATTGATACCCTTCGATACTCTCCTGAACCTTAGACCATCAGACCCTAAATCCCTCAACCCTAAACCCTAAACCTTAGACCATGAGGGCCCTACATCCTTCAACCCTCAACCCCCTAAACCCTCAACCCCTCAAGCCCCTAAGCCAGAGTTGACAGGAGCTTTTGGCGCGGCAGTTCTCCGAGACAGACACGGAACGCCTTATCTTCTTTGAGACGCTTGGTTCAAAGAAGATTGTTATAGTTTCTGGGGTTTTAGGGTTTAGGATAAGGCTTTCGTAGTAGCTGAATAGGGAACCTTTGCCCTAAACCCTTATCCCAGCCTTTTCTTTTGTCCACTTCCTGTCACTCTAGGTGGGTAGTTACCGTTATAGGAGCCTTACAGAGGGTCTATATATCTGAAAGCAGTTCCGAGAAGGTAGTTGTAGGGTTTAGGGGTATGGTGTTTTGGGGTTTTGGGGGTTACAGGACGTTGTAGGGTTTAGGGTTCAGGGGTATAGCGTTTTGGGTTTTTGGGATTTAGGGCAAAGGTTGAATGTAGAGGTGCATGTGGGTTTACACCCAAATGAGTCGTAGTAGTAGAAGTAGAGCAACGAGTAGTCCACTAGTAGGAGCACCACCACCAGCCAAAGCAGGAGGAGCAGTCGTAGTCTTGGCAGTACTTGTTGCTTTGCTGCTGTGGTGGTTGTTGCTTCTTGTAAGTGTTGATCAGTGTGTGCACAGAGCCCTAAACCGTGTGCTTCTTGGTCCAGAGTGCGAGTCTTGTTTGGACTTGAAGGCCGTTGTGTCTAGCTGAGTTTAGCTATCGTGTCGGGTGCTGTTCGGCTTAGGGAGCAACGCAGATGCAGCAGAGATTTGACTAGTAAACCCTAAACCCTAAACCNNAAGCCCTAAACCACAAGCCCTAAACCCTAAACCCTAAACCCTAAACCCTAAACCCTAAACCACAAGCCCTAAACCCTAAACCCTAAACCCTAAACAAGCCCTAAACCACAAGCCCTAAACCCTAAACCCTAAACCCTAAACCCTAAACCACAAGCCCTAAACCCTGATGGTGTTGCAGGCTCAGGGCTTCTGAAGCTAAAGGCAGCATCATCCCACCCTAAACCCTAGAATCGGTTTAGGGTTTAGGGTTTAGGGTTTAGGGTTTAGGATGCTCAATCCCAAAGCCTACTGGGTTCAGGGTTTAGGGATTAGGGTTTGGGGTTTGGGGTTTGAGGGTTTAGGGTTCAGGGTTTAGGGTTTAGGGTTTAGGGATTAGTGTTTGGTCTTCGTGGCTCCTCTTGACCACCACGCGGTTAATTCCGATCCCTTCTTCACCTATGCCTCATGCATCGCTCGTATCATCCCCTAAATACCGCTAAACCCTAAAACCCTAATCTGCTAGACCATAACGTCCTCAAATCCTAAACCCTGAATCCCTAAACTCCTATACCCTAAGATTCTAAACTCCTATGCCCTAAATCCCTCAACTCCTAAACCCTAAGATCCTACACTCCTATACACCAAATCCCCAAACTCCTGAACCCTGAAACCTGAAACCCTAAACCCTAAACCCTAAACCCTAAACCTATAAACCCAAAACCCCACACCCAGATCCCCAAGCTCCAAAACCCCCAAGACCCAGAGACTCCAAAACCCCGGAATCAAGGATTATACCATAAACTATCAAATGATCCCTCGATTTAAGGTACATTCCTTAAACAAGGGATATACCTGAAACTATAACAGGAACTCTAGATTTGAGGTATATTCCTTAATTAAGGGATTTTGGCAGAGAACCAGAGATCCCCAAACCCTTCAACCCTAGACCGCTAAAGCCTTAAAGCCCTAAAGCCGCATAGCGGTTTAGGGTTTAGGGTTTAGGGTTTAGGGTTTAGGGTTTACCCAAACTCTAAAACCCTAGACCCCCATAGGCCAAAACCCCCCAAAACCCGAGATTTGAGGTATATTCTCCCTAAACCCTAAACCCTAAACCCTTAGTTAAGGGATGTTGGAGTCTCTCACAACCCGAGATCCCCAAGCTCCGAAGCCCCCAAAACGCTCTTCTCCTCTTACTGACAATCCCCCCGAAGACCGAAGACCTGAGCTTCGGTTTGGGGTTTTGGGTTTAGGGTTTAGGCGTTTAGTAGGGTTTAGGGTTTAGGTTTTAAGGTTTGGGGTTTAGGGGTTTAGTAGGG